TATATATATATATATATATGGAATAATTTTGTGAGGGTTTTATTACGCTAGATATGTAAAATCTAAATTAAGATTTCGTATAAAATATTTTAATTCTGATATGTAACCGTACTTATGTTTAAATATTATTTACACTGAGAATGACCCAATAAGGGTTATAGAAACGTTTGTGACTTTTGTATTTTACATTTTGATTATATTAAAGAGCAACTTATATCCTAACTTAGACTCGTAGCCTATTTAATTTCTATAATTAAATTAGAAATCAATTTAACTTATAAGTATACTTGTTACTGTATAATATATACTAACTTCGTTTGTATTTTCATCCGCTATACAAATTTCACCAGTTTCTTCAGCATGGCTATATTTTTTTCAAATATTCTATTAATAATATTTACACTTATTTTACCAGGTCTGTGATTTGTATTTGGCGAACAGTGGCGTTACTTCGCTAATAATTGCTAATAGTTCGACTGAGTCGAACTTTTAAGTGTATTTTCGCTGAAAAGCCCAAATGTCGAAAATCGATGGGGAGGGGGTAAAAACCAGCTTTTCAACGCTCGCATGAAAAAACAGCTGTATACATTTCACGAGCTACTCAAACCGGCCGTTTCAGCGGAAGAAAAATCACGTGGTCAAAATTGACGAATACCAAACGCCAATTTTGATAACGTGATCCTCTTTGTTGCGACACGGCCGGTTTGAACGGCTCGTGAAAATGAATCTCACATTTTTAAAGCAAGAATTTGTTGATTATTTCTTTTCTTTGAAACTTAATATAAATTTTTTGTATTAATATATAAATTATTAATATATACAAAGGACATTTTAATTTCTCCATCTAAACATTTTTTTCGACGTCTGTTTATAAACAATAATTTAAAAAATAAAATAAACAATAACGCTTATCAAGACAAAAAGTGAATAAAAAAGTACAATTCAATATAGGGGATAAATTCATCAAGTATCCTTCAATATTTCTTCAGTAGTTTTTATACAAGATTATGTGAGCCGTTTATTTTGAAAGTGACCTAAGTCCATTTATTTTTAAATTGAGATATTTAAGAGTTTGCGTTTCAATAAAATTAAAAATATACGTATAGGATACCAACATGTCACACTGCTTAAGTGTATCTAAGAGAGTTAAATTTACAATTCCTATTAAAATAATAGCAATTATTAAGTGAATAATATGTGTTTTCTTACTACAAATGGAGTTAAGCCACTTTCAAAATTAACAACTAGATTTGTTATAAAATTTGAAAGAGCCCAAGTCCATTCGACAATTTAAAATGCTTCAAATTGAAAAAACAATACTCAATTTATTTTATATTATTTCTTTACAACACTTCAAAAACACAATTTATGCAATTCAGGAAATCTTCTAACTATATAAATTACATAACAATTTACTGCTCATCTACATTTTGTGTATGCGGGAGGGATTTGAAGAAGTCATGGTGCTCCGGTAGTATATATCGTAGTAAGTCCATCATGTCCTTATTTCGCTGTTGAAATTTGTCTTATATTTTTATAAAGTGGTGTCAATACAATATTTTCGAATTTTCTTGGTCTACCCCGACGTGGTAATAAATCCAGGATTTTAAACTCTGCATTCTCATCCATTGATATCTTATAGAAAATTTTATATGGTTCATTTCTCAAAAAACGCATCCAGCATATTTTTAACCAATTTATTGTTTCTCCGTTAGAATTCTTTACCCTTTTAAAAACTGCGTCCTCCAAAAATCTTGTTGATATGAAATCCTCTTGTTTCATTTCATTTAGAATAAAGTTATTACCTTTCCGGCACTTTTTGATAACATTATAATAATCTTGGGGGACAAACAGTAAATTATTTTTCTTTAATGACATTTCTACGACGCCAAAATCTCTATCATTCGGTAAAAATGAATGTCCTAATACTAAAAATTTGTGGTCTATGATTTCCACATTATAATAGATTGGACTTAGGCCACTTTCAAAGTAATGTTTTTAATTATTGAAATAATTGCGAAAATTTATGTGTCAGAAATTATCGTATACTCTGAATATACTTAACCGCAAAATGTTGTTTATGACAGCTAACTTCAAGTTGTACACGCTAGTACAGTCAACAACAAAAAATTGACAAATGGACTTAGGCCACTTTCAAAATAAACGGCTCATGTATTTTTATCCTTTTTAGGTTGTTGATTTAACGCAATCCTACGAATTTTAAGTCAAATTAGAAATGAAAAATTAGAAACGTTTCATTATAGCATATTTTGCACAATCTACATAACAAAAAAATATTAACATTACTTTAATGTTACATTAATATTGGTTTAACATTTAGTGAAATAATCATTAAAAAATTTATCCACCATATTGGATCTATTTTGAATTCATGAAGAAACTTTTAAGAAATTACACAGCGATAAATATATTTCTTTGTTAAATTTTAATTTTCGTTTGGAACAAATGGATATATTTGCATGATTTCGAATAAAGTTATTATAATAAGTCAAAATAAAATGAATACTTATTCTAGAGTAAAATAATTTTATTGCACATATTACACAATTTATAATTGCACAATATTTTTCTTTTATCATTTAAATATCGCAAATGTTACATGCTATATCGAAAATAAAATATATAAAGCGATACATTAAATATGTATGCAACAATAAGTTAATAATTAACTTATTGTTCATATTTTGAAAAAAATCTTAAAATTACATGTTATCAAATAGAAATTATCTTATAACAAGGCCACGAGAAGTTTTATTTAATTTAAGGCACACATGGATAAAAATAAGCAACATCCGTCTGTGGATCAGATTCCAATCTTATACGTAATTATTTTACGTAACTGCTATTGTTTACTTGTTTTGGACCTCTAATGCGGGGTCTACAATAGAAGTCGTAGCGGTCGTAAGGTCTTAAGTCGTAGAAAATTGACCAATCACAGTTGATTATTTTTCTCATATTCGACTGTGATTGATTAATTTTCTACGACTTAAGACCCTACGACTGCTACGACTTCTATTGTAGACCCCGCATTAGTCATCTTTTATAGACATTGTATTTCTCGTGTTTATTTCTAATCTCTTATTTTTTCAGTTGTAATGTCACTATATTATGTTGTCACTTTTTAAAATTTTTAATTTCTATTTTAATCCGTTTTATGATTTTCCTGTATAATTTTTTATGGTGAGGAAGACTTTTAATATAGTCGAGAAATGTACATTTTAATTTATCATTCTTTTTTCAACAATTTCAAAATAATTTTGTCTTTTTAATCATAACTAGCTCATATTATTGATTATTATTTTTACTTATTTGCGTTTATACATGTATCGAATTTATTTTATCAAATGACAAAATTCAAATTCATTATTCGTGCGTATTAAGATATTCGATCAAAATAATGCTTGCAATTGCTTTATATATAAAAGCTAGTAACATGTAAGAATTAAATATATTTCACATATATGTTTTTTTTCTTTTTAAACAAGTATGATTTCTGAATTTCCAAATTCGAAACATGATATTTCAGTTGCCATCTATTCTCTATGATATAAAAATATAAGCTACCAACACATAAATCTTCTTTTAACGATCTGTATTTTCATGATATGAATATACAAGACCGATTTATCAATTAAGATTTTTCAAATCAAGGTCTTAATGTAAAATCAATCGTTTCTCCTCAATGAATTAGGGTAACTCCGGCAAATACGCCGCGCTGGGATTTATGCCGCAGAAGT